TTGCAGCGGTTGTCAAACGCTAGCCTCAAAGTTAAATCAACTAGAGGAAGAAGTTAGGAACATGAAGAATTTTATCCAGCAGACCTTCATGATAGGGGATAAGTTGGCAGCATCGACGCACAGGGTAACGAGGAGTAGAGCGTGAGACAACCTGCATTAGCAGTATAAGCAGTGACGTGAAACCTCTAAAATCAGTAAAGAATGAGAAAAAGGCGACAGAAAAGACTATGAAGAAAGGACGCAAAAATCCAAAGACTCGTCAGAAAGGAAACCGAGGGCTGAGCATGAAAATGATAAAGATGGACCGACGAAAGAGGAAAACAGTCCCCAGACGGTATGCGCATCTCCCGAGCCTAATGTGAGGGGAGCATCGACCAACGCAAGACCGAAAAAAATGAACCCAGAGTGGGAGTAGAAGTACATACTTTCACGAATATTCATGCAACTGGCGTTGGAGCCCACATTGGGGAAGCCTCATCATCGGTCAGACCAATTCGTCGGATGGAGGTGCTGTGGACAGATTACAATGCATAGTCGTCCATGGACTTCGTGAGTCAACCAACAATAACCCCAGATGTAGGATAAACGATGATACCATGACCGTGCAGGATAAAATGAAGCCATTAAGATTCTGAAACATTTCCGACTAAACAGTAAAAATAGCGCGAGCTCTCAAGGGAGGAAACCAAGACCTCTAAAGATAATTTTAGAAAGTAAACTCCAGAGGGGGGACAGGGTTCACTACCCTATGAAACCCGATTGTCCAATCTCGGTCTCTTTCCACTGAGTTACAGACAGCTAAGAGGCGACCTTATACAAACATTCCGTATACTGCGCGGCCAGGACTGCTGTCTCGTACCTACTGATTTCTTTGAGTTAGCGACCACAACGAACCTCCGAGGTCATCCACTTAAACTACGAGTTACTGGCGCCAAGCTGGACACTCGGAAGTTCTTCTTTTAAAACAGAGTGATCGAGGCCTGGAATGCTCTGCCTGCAGGTGTCGTCATGTCCACCTCCGTCGAGGCTTTTAAGCGCAACTTGGACCAGATTGCCACCAATCGTCACAATGCCACCTGACAGATTGTCTAGCATTTCGTTCGAACAGTTTAGTAATGTTGTCATATTACTTCCTATATTTCAGTAACGTTTGTTTTTTTTAATATTGTCCCATGTCTGTTAAATGTGTGTTGGCATTCAATTCGTCTCCCTCCGAAACTGAGATAGCACCAACTATCCCTAGACAGACTACTGTACAGCACATTTAGTAACGTTAATGTTTTTAACTTTTGGAACAATTCGTTTATCTGTCTGGCTTACAAAACGTTGTCAATCTGAAGAAACTCTGTAGCCGTTTGATGTTTCAATTTTCAAATTTTTTTTTTAATTGTTCGCCTCCTTGTAACAAATAGGGAGTTCAAAGGTTTAACACCTATATTTCCCTCAAATAAACTGAACTGAACTGAAAGAGGGATCTTCTACTGGAACGAATACTAGGGGGCATCCGTGGCCATAGAGGTCTTTTTTTTAATCGGATTACTCAGTGCAAGAGAGATTGAAATGGTGGGCGCTGATGGCGGAGCTGGCGACCTTGAAAGAACAAGGAGAGAAGGGACTAGTAATAATGAACAGAGTGATAGTTCGACGACAAAACCCCTCCTGTGCAGGACGTCTGTCATACTGGACGAAGGCCACACGTCAGGGCAACGAATTCGAAGCAATAACCTACATAAAATTAAGTCCTTCTACGGAAATCCACAAAGCCTCTTGAACAAACTCGACGAACGTAAAATAATTGTGGCCGAAATATGTCCTGATGTTATTGCATTAACTGAAACGTGGCTCACCCCCAGATGTCACAGACCCCCAAATACAGTTAGATGGTTATCAAGTGCTAAGACGAGACCGAACCAAAAAGCGAGGTGGCGGAGTTGCCCTATATGTATATCAGCAATGCGGTCGAATATAACCCTGTTGAAGAATGTGTGAATGCGCATGATCTGGAGATGCTGCTGTGTCATTTGCTGGTCCCAAAAGCCGAAAACGTTACTGTCACCGTTGTATATAGGCCTCCCAATCAACCTGCCGACGAAGATCAAGCGTTAATCACTCGACTCCGCGAGGACAGTCGAAAGAAAAACATTATTATCGTAGGAGATTTCAATGCTACGCGGATTAACTTGGACCTTTTGACAGTTAAGGTCCTCAGACAAGGATTCGACCAAATGCTATTAGACATGGCATTTGACGAATTTCTGTTTCAACATGAACCAACTGTGACTCGGATGCGTGAAGGTCGGAGGGCTAGTTGCCTAGACCTACTGTTTACCAGGAACGAGGAATGCCTTGATGAAATAAATGTAGACCCACCCCTAGGTTCTTGTGATCACATGACAGTAGAGTGAGAGTCGACACTTGTAGCTGTCCCCTAACGAAACTCAAAGTCGTTAAGAAATGTCTGGCGGGGTAACTTTGAGGCAATGAAATCAGAGATTGAACTCACACTATGGACGGAAGCATTATGAGGAGATGTCAATGAATGCTGGACAACCTTCGAATCAACTATGAGAGACTTGATTGAACGATACTGTCTCCTCAAGAAACATCTAACCGGAAACAAACCGAAATGGCTGACAACATAGGTTAAGAAGGACATCCGAAAAAAACGCAAGTTGTGCACAATTTTTTACAAACGGAGCACCCAAAAAAACTTCAGAAATTCAGACAACAACGAACCTTACGCAAATGACTTATCCGAGAAGTACGAGCTTCTTATGAACTAAAGCTCCTGGAAGAGGCGCAGCAAAATCCTAAAGCATTCTATGCATATATCGGGAGCAATACGAAAAACCGAGACCATCTGGCAACCTTAAAGGACAAAAATAACCAAATTGTGAGCGATGGCTTTCAAAATGCCGAGCTTCTTTCCGAGTTTTTCCAAAGTATCTACACCGCGGAACCACCCCACCAGTCCTATTCTCTTCCACAGCTCGCCAACCAACCACTTATAAGCACAGTATTTTTTACACCGCAGTTAGTTTTATCAGAGTTAAATAAGCTGGATCCGGCCAAGTCACCTGGACCAGATGAAATCTCAGGTGTACTCCTGCGTCAGCTAGCTGAAGAATAAGCAGAACCACTTTCTATAATCTTCCAAAAATCGCTGGAAGCTGGCAAACTACCTGACACATGGAAGTTGGCAAACATCGTACCTATCCACAAGGGAGGATCACGGCTATGTCCCACCAATTACCGACCGGTGAGTCTGACATGCATTTGTTGCAAACTTATGGAAAAGTTAGTTAAAAAATCAATTACATCACTCGATACATTCCGCTTTCATATCACTTCAGTCCAACATGGCTTCTGCGAAAAGAGGTCCTGCTTCACAAACCTGCTTACGTCA